TTCAGGGGCACCTGGGTGGCTCAGTGGGTTAAAGCCTCTGCCTTCGGCTCAGGTCATGATCCTGGAGTCCTGGGATCGAGCCCTGCATCGGGCTCTCTGCTCGGCGGGGAGCCTGCTTCCCCACCTATCTCTGCCTGCCTCTCTGCCTACTTGTGATCTCTGTCTGACTTGTGATCTCTGTCTGTGAAATAAATAAATAAAATCTTTTAAAAAAAAATTCTTGAATTCAGACCTAGTTGTGGCTAATTAGCTGTGTGACCTTGAATAAATGATTAATTGTGCACTCCCTGCACTCCAAGAACAGGAAAACACTCACAATGTCTTAGTGTGGACAAAGTTCAGAATGACAAATTGTTTGTTACAGTAAGACTATAAAGGTTTTTTTTTTTTTTTTAAAGATTTTATTTATTTATTTGACAGAGAGAGATCACAAGCAGACAGAGAGGCAGGCAGAGAGAGAGAGAGAGGGAAGCAGGCTCCCTGCTGAGCAGAGAGCCCGATGTGGGACTCGATCCCAGGACCCTGAGATCATGACCTGAGCCGAAGGCAGCGGCTTAACCCACTGAGCCACTCAGGCGCCCCAAGACTATAAAGGTTTTAAGAATGAAAACCTGAAGGCACCTGGGTGGTTTAGTGGGTTAAGCCTCTGCCTTTGGCTCAGGTCGTGATCCCAGATTCTGCCTGAGGCTCTCTGCTCAGCAGGGAGCCTGCTTCCCCCTCTCTCTCTGCCTACTTGTGATCTCTCACTCTGTCAAATAAATAAAATCTTTAAAAAAAAAAAAAAAGAATGAAAACCTGTAGGGGCACCTGGGTGGCTCAGTCATTAAGTGTCCAACTCTTGATTTCTGCTCAGGTCCTGATCTCAGGGTCCTGAGATAGAGCCTAGTGACAGCTCTGTGCTGGGCTTGGAGCCTGCTTACAAGATTCTCTCTCTCCCTCTCTCGCTGCCTCTCCCCTCCCCAACTCTCTCTCTTTAAAAAAAAAAAAAAAAAAAAATGAAAACTTGTATAAAATCTGTATGTGTATAAACAAATATAAACCTGTATTTATATAAACCTATATAAAGTCTGTATTAAAATCTGTATTTGTTCTTGGGGTGCCTGGGTGGGTCAGTCTGTTAAGCATCTGTCTTCAGCTCAGGTCATATTATGGGGTCCTGGATCGAGTCCTGCATTGGGCTCCCTATTCAGCAGACAGTCTGCTTCTCCCTTTCCTGCTCCCTCTACTTGTGTGTGCTCTCTCTAATAAATAAATAAAGCCTTTTTTAAAAAATCCATATTTGTTCTTAACAAATATAAAACATATATTAACAAATATAAACATTTGATTATATGGTAATATTGTGAAAAAAATTTTAAATTACTAGAATTATCAAGACATCACTTAAGCTTTCCAAAATAAAATACGCATTTAAAGAAAATGTTTCAAAGCCAAACTCTTGAAAGCATTATGTTAGTAATAAGAATATTTTAATATATTACTGGGATATACTTACAATTTGCTAATAGAGGTGTGGTTGAGACCTCATTTCCTCTGTGTTTGTTGGTCAAAGTAGTTGACTGTTTAATTGGTGAGAAGTGCTTTGTTGTAGAGGGAGTATAGACATGTCTTACTTGAATTCCCGGAGAAGGAGATGTATGGATATTGCATTCAGCTAAGTAAAATAAATTTAAACACGTTAAAATAATATTTTAATGACAAAGCATTTTAAAATTCTATGTCAATGTTTACATTAATAAAGAAATACATGAGGTAGATCTTCAACTGTTTCTCAAGTGATATTATTCTTTGCTGTAAAAATTCTGCATTATCACAGTGGAAGTTCCAGAAAAAATCTGTATTAATCTTGAGTGATTTTATTCTGAGATTAGTTTTTTTATTCAATAGATTGTTGTAAAAGTAAGTCTACAATATGAAGAAAACATCAATGCATTAAACTATGGGAAAGTGATGCCAATCAAATATTTGTGGAATAGGGAACAGTAAGGTAATTCATTTCTTCAAAGGCACGAATAATTTTTTTCTCCTGTCACTTTAAAGAGTACAATAAGAAACTTGAATTTGTAAATAAACAAAGGTCAAGCAAGAAAAATTTTTAAAAATCAACATATCCTTATAGAGATCAAATAACATGAAATTAATTCAGTTTTGGTTTTGGTGAGATCCTAGAAAATCATATTCAAGTATGACTTTCAAATCATATTAAAGTATGACTTCCAAACTCACAATCTCATGATCAAGAAAGGAAAAAAAAAACCAAAAACCAAAAAACAAAATAAACAAAAACAAATGCAGATATTTATACCATAACTTTCAACCTTTAAATAGGACAGATGCCACTTCCAGGTCAGAGTTAACCTGATCTTGAATATTTTTACTATCCTCTTCATTTAAGGACTTCACAAATCGAGAACACACGTTCATATCAAATCGGTTAGGTAATATGAATTTCATTCCCATGGCAACACCCTGAGTGGATCCTTCTTCTGCATTCGAGTCCAGCTGATGTTCTATTTTAATGTCTGGCATGCCAGTTAGACTGTAACTGTTGGGGCACTCTTCCACTATCAGCTGGGCTCCAATATCCAGATTTGCTGATGTAGCCATGATTTCAACTGTAGTTTCAATAATTAAAACATTTCTTCATGATTTCCTCTTTGTTTTATAGGAGTGGTATCCACTGTGTTCTTGGAATTCAGCTATTGAAAAATCTGAAAGAAAAAAATTAAAATATCATATCAACTCAGCTAAAGTACACAAAATAAGCAAAGAGTGCTCTTATAGGCACCGACACATAGTAGTAGTAGTATGCTAATAGTAAGCATACAATGTTCAGAGGCAGACACCTGGGTATGAATTTAAGCTTCGTCACTTACTAGCTATGTGCACCTGTGCATTACTCAACCTCTCTAAGCCTCATTCTCACCTGTAAAATGGAGGTGTCATCATTAACCTCATGGGATCTTGGTAAAGACTAAATGAAATACAGTAACATTCTCACTTTCTTCACTAGGTTTCAACAATTTTGCTCCTTCTCCCCTTTCCTATTCTTGAACATCGCCAAATGAACAGAAGATCAAGGTAACAATGAAAAGAAACTTTCATGTTCTTTCACCAAGTTAGAACAGACCAAGCAGATGGCAGCTGTGAACCAGGAAGAGTGCCCTCACCAGCACACAACCATGCTGCCCCCCTGATCTTAGCATTCCCAGGCTCCAGAACTACCCCAAACTCCTGCTACTGCAGAAGCCCAAGATGGAAAGAAGCTAGTTCCTATTGGGACAAAACATTGGAAAAAATTCCTAATAGCATTTTTTTCTCAAAAATTTGACATTTTTTTGTTTTCATAGATCAAGTCAGTGATCCTTTCACTGATTGCTAGATTCTTTAAACCACCTTCTAATGTTAAAGTGCCAAGACTTCATTTCATAAATTAAAATGGCTAAAACATTTTCATGTGAAAAACTTTCATGTAAAACACTTTGGTGTGAAAACTAAACTCTTACCTGTAGTTCACCTTTTAACATGCTATACCTATAAATGGCTCTGAGTTTGAATTTAAGATAGAAGTCATGTTGTACCCATGTCTATTAGTATCTAGAACACCCGTGATTCTTGGATAAATTGAATATATACTTATTTATCAGTTTTTGTGCAGTTCAAATGTTAGTGACTTAAAATAGGTTTTTATGAAAACTGTTACTATAGAAATCATAGATTATAGATTGGCTTCCTGTACTTTATTATCTCTAGGACATTAGGATCAAACTATTAATTTTTAGATCTCAATTTTTATAATAAGTATTAAGAAATAAGAACTAAGTATAAATAAGAAATGATTTTTTTCAAATACAGATAATTAAGACATGAATTCAATAAATCCAAACTCTCAAAACATAGATTATAAGCACACTGTTATAGAATCATCTGCTACTGTTTTATAATGAGTTTTTAGTAATCACTGGCACTTCCCTATGAACCTTAATATAATTTCAAGAGAATTTCATTATTGTACCTAGAATTGATTCTAAAAAAATGAAGAATTTCAAGATTATAAATACCCTATGCATATAATCCCTGAGACAGGGAGAAGAAAATGAAAACATCTAGTTAATCTTTTCATGTTAGGGTTTACTGCCTCTTAGAAATTTCGAGAGGATGCAGGGTTTTTTAAAATTGGAATTTAAAAAGAAAAATGCATTAGGATTACAGTGGAGCACAGGTTGACAAACCATACATTTATAGGTAACTACTATTTTCAGTTTTAAAACATTTTCCAAGATTGATTCTTATAACAATCCTTTGAGTAGTGAGGGTAGTTAACTGTTATTTCCTATGTAGAGAAAAGAAAAAGGGAGCTTATACATTATGAAGGATCTATGCAGCTCTTTGGATAGAGCACCTTGACCACTAAAATAAGAAGCAGCACTAAACTAATCCAAAATTCCAAAGGACAAGAGGTGAAGAAATAACAAATAGTAGTAGTAGTAATAATAATAATGATAATAGTAAGAAAGTAACAGGTAACAAAGTCAATATCCTTTAGCAAAAGGAAAGAAGGAAACCAGAACAGAAATGAGCTGTGATTCAAAGAGAGATGGGAGTGCAATGAAGAGGGCTTTAAAAATGTATTGCAAGGGGTGCCTGGGTGGCTCAGTGGGTTAAGCCACTGCCTTCGGCTCAGGTCCCGATCTCAGGGTCCTGGGATTGAGTCCCGCATCGGGCTCTCTGCTCAGCAGGGAGCCTGCTTCCCTCTCTCTCTCTCTCTCTCTGCCTGCCTCTCCATCTACTTGTGATCTCCGTCAAATAAATAAATAAAATCTTTAAAAAAAAATGTATTGCAAGATGTGAATACATTTCTTCCTCAGGGAAGAAGCATCTCCCACAGACTCCTACCCAGAGCTGGCCTAGATGCAATCCCCTGAGATTTCTTAGCACACTGCATTTATTTCTATTTTTAGAATTTATCATTCTCTTGAAAGTTTCCACTTACTCCAAAGAAACTGAAAACTTCTCTAGGATGGAGAACACTCTTACTAATCTTTGCACACAAGCAGAGCCTGATCCTACCAGGTGTTCCAGAAGTGTTTTCCGATTTGAATACGAACATCGTTTTATATTCTTTTCTATCCTGAAATGACCCTGCAAGATGCTCAACAAAGGCTTGCTAATTAGATTCGGCTTTGCATGTTCAACGTCACTAATAACTAGCTGTGCAACCTGGAAAGAAAAATCACATACGTTTTCCGAAACTCATTTTATTAATCTATACAATGTGGGTGGTTGAAACAGACATCTCTAATACTCTTTCTAGCTCTAAACATCTTCCATGTCATAAATCAGGGTTTATAGACGGAACGGAACTACCGGCCTTTGAGCGGAGAACCTGGGAAATGAGGAAGTGAAAACAGAACGCTGTCTTGCCACGGCTCTATAGGAGAAGAGCCAAATTGACTGGTTAAGCTAAGATTTTGAAGACTAGAAGGAGAGGGGAAACATGATCAAGAGTAGGAGGCGGAGAGAAAAAGAGGTATGGCCTAGGATCACCTCGATCCGTCAGAGCCCAGGGATAAAGGGAAGAGACACGCTGGGCGACTGTGCTAGCCCGCAGTGGAGCCCCCGGGTTCTTCCTAATCCTGAAGTCGTCCTACAAGGAAAGGAAGGTGCTATGAAAATGAATGATGCCTCACAGGCGACAGGTGTCCCAGCGTCCCAAGACAGAAGCTCGCTGGAGGGGAGGGAAGGGAAGTCCGCTCGGTCGCCACCCGCCAACTCTGCCCGAAAAATCCCAGCACAGCTCAAGGACCGCCGGAGGAAACTCTGGTTCACCCACGGCAGGAGAGTCAGGGGGACAGGGGCGGGAGGCCGACTGGGCGGGAGCGCAGGGCCTCGCGACTACCTTCGACAGCCGACAGCGAGTCGGTCTTTTCCATCTGCAGCCACAGATTCACAGCAGGCCCCCAAACCCCGGCTTGTTTTGACCGCGACGTCACTTCCGATTTCTTCTTTCGGTTTCTGGCCAAAAAAAACGTTCCGCGTCACTGCAGCCGAAAGGCCTTCCAGTTTTTGGTTTTGTTTTGTGTTTTTAAAAAAAAATGCTGTTGCTCGGTCTTTACTGCCCGAATACTACAGAGACTGGGTCACTTCAGTAGACCCTTCTGGATCACTAGTGCAACACCCACCTGGCCCTCCGATCACGTCTCCTCCTCTCCCATCGCCCCGCCCTCCTGATCCACCCCTGCGACACTCAGGACGCGTAAGTCGCGTGTGCGTACGTCATCACGTCACTTTTGTGCGACGGGCCTGCCTGTTCAGGGCTTGCGTCTTGGCGGCCCCCTGGAAGGTCCGCGTGATCTTCCGCAAGTGAGCCCCGCGAGTCTGGGGAGGGGGCTGGCGGAATCCGAGAAATTTTCTTTGGACGCAGAGTGTTCCGCGGAGCAGGTGTGGCGGTAGGTAGGTGAAGGAGGCTCCCAGTGGGAGTAGTTCAAGCTCTGGTCGGGCCTTCCTTGGAATCTGGCGTGCTCCCTGGGGCTTCCCAGTCTTCACCGAACGGCTAAAATTCCATAACCAACCTCTCAGGATCCCCGCGATTTAGCTTCGACGTACATTGGTCTCTTCTGCGATCACATCCTCTCCTCCTGTGCACCGTTATTAGCGCGCATCCCTTCAAGGCACTGGGCAAATTTCCACTTGTCTTTGCTTATGATGTTCTCTCGATTTCCAGTGTTGCCCTTATCCCCCGCGCTTGTGCCCATCTTAAAAGGTCATTCTGTTTTAGTATTAGACGTCAAGACAGGGTTGAAATGCACGCTTTGAGTCTTTCTGGGAGCCTCCTGGTTAGAATTAAAAATCTTTCGAGGGCGCCTAGGTGGCTCAGTGGGTTAAGCCTCTGCCTTTGGGTCAGGTTCATGATCTCAGGGTGCTGGGATCGAGCCCCGCATCCGGGCTCTCTGTTCAGCAGGGAGCCTGCTTCCTCCTCTCTCTCTGCCTGCCTCTCTGCCTACTTGTGATCTCTGCCAAATAAATAAAATCTTTTTAAAAAATCTGTTTGAGCTCTTAGTACTCTGTACGTTATTTGTAGCATATATTTGATATTTTGCTTTGTATTGTAGTATCTGTTATCAATCTGCTCTCAGCTTCTCCGGCTCTCTCCTCTCCCTGATCATCTTCTTTCTATTCATTTTCACATCATTTCTTGCCTCCACGCTTTTGTGTCATGTTCCGTCTCCCTCATCTCCAGTGCTGTCTCTCTCTTTAATCTGGCAAACCACTACTACTACTCCTCACTTGGTTGGTTTTTTTTTTGGTTTTTTTTTTTTTTGTTTTTTTTAAGATTTTATTTATTTGTGAGAGAGCAAGCAGGTCACAAGCAGGGGGAGCCGCAGGCTGCGGGAGAATGCTTGGAACACGTTCCATGGTGTCTTGATTCCAGGACCCTTGGGATCATGACCCTGAGCCACCCAGGCACCCCTACCCCTCACTTGTAAACTTTAAGAGCTTTAAGGTGTTTCTCTCAGGGGTGGTTTTGTGTGTATTACAGTAAGGAATGGAGGCCCACACATTAGATTTGGCATGGTGACCATTTTCCTTGGGCAGCCAGTGAGCCTAGAATGGTTTTTACAAGTGAATATTTGCATTCTGATGATAGGAAGCACTAATCTTGAACCTAAAATAAGTGAAATGTTTTTCCCTTCATTCAAAAATCTCATTTTTTTATTTATTCATAACTACAAAATTGTTCTCATAATTATTTGGGGGGTTTTGTTAGTGAAAAATTGAGATTTTTTTTTTTTTTTTTTGCTTGCTTGCTTGCTTGCTTGCTTGTAACTACATGATAGTCTCCATTTTGCCTGTTGGTTTGCAAAACCTAAGATATTTATCATCTGGCCCCTTACAGAAAAATTTGTTGACTCTTGATGCGTAGCAATGTTCATATTATAGACACCACTTGTGCCTTTAATTTTATATTTTTCTATAGAACTCAGCACAGTGCCTACTTTCTTTCCCCAAGTTTTCTTTAAGCACTTAAAAAGTCTTCGTGATACGAAATGTTCAATTTTGTGGGAAAAAGATTGTTACAAATTCAGTGTTACTATGCACAGAGACAGAAGTATGCAGAATGAAGTAGGATTAGGAGTTGAGAGAAGTGTGGAGGATGTGATCCTTGAGTTGAGCTTTAAAAGATAAAAAGGGGGCGCCTGGGTGGCTCAGTGGGTTAAGCCGCTGCCTTCAGCTCAGGTCATGATCTCAGGGTCCTGGGATCGAGTCCTGAGTCCCGCATCGGGCTCTCTGCTCAGCAGGGAGCCTGCTTCCTTCTCTCTCTCTCTCTGCCTGCCTGTCTTCTTGTGATCTCTGTCAAATAAATAAATAAAATCTTTAAAAAAAATAAAATAAAAGATAAAAAGGAAGTGGGTATGTAGAGATCATTCCTGGCAAAGTGGATAAATGAGCAAAGACAGTGAGAGAAGTAAGAGAATAGTGTGTTAAAGGGAATAGCAAAGAGTGAAGCTGGAAAGGTTGGTAAGGGCCAGATCAGAAGCCTTGTTAAGGAGCTTGGACCTTTCTTTTCAGGCAGTGTTGTGCTTTGTGCTGGATATACTGGGTAGTTAGGTCTTGCTGATGTCTATTTAAAAGATGGATGAGGGGGTGCCTGGGTGGCTCAGCCCGTTAAGTGGCTGCCTTGGGCTCAGGTGGTAATCCCAGGATCCTGGGATCGAGTCCCTTATGAGGCTCCCTGCTCAGCGGAGAGCCCACTGCTCCCTCTCTCTCTGCCTGCCATTCTATTTGTGCTCGCTCTCTCTCTGTCAAATAAATGAATAAAATCTTAAAAAAAAAAAAAAGATGGATGAGGGAGTCAAGGGCCCTTATACTGCACTATTTGTGTAGATGAGAAGATCTAAGGGCAGTGGAACTTGGTGGAGTGGGCGTGATGAAGTTTAAGGAGGTAAAATAGCAGATCTTGTTAGCTATTTGGATGTTAAAAGTGAAGAGGAAGGACAAGTCAAGGCCGAGTCTTCTGCTGATCACCAGCTAAAATGGAGAATATTGGAAGGTGTGAGGAGACTGTTTTACTCAACATTGTATTTCCAGAGCCTAAAACAGTGTCCTGTGCATTGTAGGTACTTGAATGAACAGAAAACTTTCCTTCCTTTTAATTGTTGATTGTTACATTTCATCAAAAGAACCTTTAGAGTATGTCATACCTATTTATTTTGGTAATAACTTCAAGCTTTTTGGAATAGATGATGAGTTGGACCACTGATAAAATGAATCTCTTTCACAGTTGAATAGTCCTGGAGAGACATTTTGGCTTAATTCCATGTCAGTTAAAAGTTTAAATTTAGGGGCGCCTGGGTGGCTCAGTGGGTTAAGCCTCTGCCTTCGGCTCAGGTCATGATCTCAGGGTCCTGGGATCGAGCCCCGCGTCGGGCTCTCTGTTCATCGGGGAGCCTGCTTCCCCTCTCTCTCTGCCTGCCTCTCTGCCTACTTGTGACCTCTGTCAAATAAATAAATAAAATCTAAAAAAAAAAAAAAGTTTAAATTTATTTTTATCCTGTTCTGTCATTTAAATTGGGAATTTAATTTCAGAATTGCTTTATTCTTATTTTCTTACTGTTTAAACTTTTAAAAGTTAATTTTTATTTTAAGCTTTTACATTTAAACTTCTGCATCAGAATATTAGCTTTTAATTTTATTTTAAGCTTTTTAAATTTAATTTTTAGAATATTCGCCTTGTTTTCCTTCTTGGTATTTCTCAGGCTTTCAGGAAGTCAAGACCCTACACTATGTTCATATAGATTAAATGTCATCCTAAATTTAGTTTCAGGAAACTTGTATTTGCACTTTAATCTTAATGTTTTCTGTTGTTCATTAATAAACATAAGCCAGTGGACTTCTGCTTTGGCTGCTGGATGGCTGAGCCAGATTTATTTCCATGTGTTGTAAATTGGTTAGTTAGATGTGAGAACATTTGTGTACAGCCTCTGTGTATAGCTGAGTAGATGATGCAGTCTGGTAGCCCTGTCTTTATTCTTCCTACTTCCTTTAGATTGTCACTTCTGTGTTAGAATTAGATGATTTATTGGTCACTAATCTGTAAGCTGCCACACAGTCTTTTGAAAAGACACAGCGTGAAAATGGAACTATACAGGTTGAAGAATAATATGTGTATATAAAATGTTTTCTTTTTCAGACATAAAGCAGAGTCACTATAATTATTTGTAACGTCAATTTAACAGTTTAATTATATGAAATTATGGCTGGTTATAAGCCTGCAGCTATTCAGACATATCCTGTACTCGGTGAAAAAATCACCCAAGACACACTGTACTGGAACAACTATAAGGTAAGTGTAGATGGTAATGAGTGGTTTGCATTTATGCTTATTTCGCCAGCATATGTTATACTTTGGATACTCTAGTAGAGAACTAATAACTAAAAAGAATCTATCAACAGTTTACAGTTTGGGTGGAAAATTTGATATCTGATATTTTTTCTTGGATGTTTCAAATTAAAAGTCCATGCTTCTGGGGCACCTGGGTGGCTCAGTTGTTAAGTGTCTGCCTTCAGCTCAGGTCGTGATCCTGGGGTCCTGGGATTGAGCCCCGCGTGGCGCTCCCTGCTCTGTAGGAAGCTTCTCCCTCTGACACTCCCCCTGCTTGTGTTCCCTCTCTCACTGTGTCTCTGTCAAATGAATAAAATCTTTAAAAAAAAAAAAAAGTCGATGGTGCTTAAGGATTTTAATCATACAAGTGCCTACCAAAAAATAGATGATTAATGAATGCCAAATGAGATAGATTTTTAAATTTTTCAATTATGCAAGTTTTTTTTTTGCCTTTCTAAAACTAAGAAAGCTGTGATGCAGAATTAGTTCTTCTAGACTACAAAGGCTTAAAAGTGATTTTTCTTTTAAATGAACAATTAAAAAATGGAAAAAGAGGGGCGCCTGGGTGGCTCGGTCAGTTGGGCGTCTGCCCATATACTTGTTGTCATATATTTACTACGGTCATATATTTATTTACTTTAGTGGCAACTAGGGAAATCTGGGTGATGGTAATTGAACCTTTTTGCTTTCTTTATACTTCTGTATTAAATACATCCTAGTAAATGTTATTAAGAACAAAGAGAAATGTCAGTAAGAAATTATGTAATGCTTCAAAGGTCTTACCAATTGTAACTGTTAATCCTTTGTATTATTTTTTATTTTTATCAAGACCCCTGTTCAAA